AGACTTGTTTGCTACTGATTAAAATCAATAGCTAACTTTATTCCTGACTAATCTGCTCTCTGCTGACTAATCTGCTCCTTTATCTGGTGTTGCTCATTCCTTAATTTACAGGGATAGAGGTACACATTTAAAAACCTTAATATTGTAGCATAATATTTTAGTTGACATTAAAAAAAAAGGGGGGGTGGGAGAATCAGTTCTGCTTGGTTATTTTCCTTCAAGATAGCTGTGGAATTCAAGACTTGCCTTGACAGGACCGTAAGTCAAGGTTCTGCTTTCACCAGAAGCATAGACCAGCTGTATCAGAGGTATTTCCTGACCTATACTTTTCTGTAATTTTCTGAGTCTGACCACTGAGTCAGCTATCTGTCTAGATAGCACATTTTATCTAAGTACCTCTAACACATTTGGAACTGTGTCATAGTAGTCTTGAGATATAGATCTTACACTGGCTTGAGTTAAGTGGTGTGATTGGCAGTGTAAAATATCAGTAAGACCGTAACAAAACACCCTCTAGCTGTCAGACCTCATCCTCCCCTTTAGAGATTAAACTGTACTTCATTGACAGTCAGGACTGAAGGACAATTTGAAACATGTTTATTTTAACGCGAGGAATGGCTAGTTTAAAATAAGTAAAGGAGATGATTAAAAAGTAAGGGTAATCTCTGTGGTATCATCTAACAGTAGCTTTGTCTTGATTCCTTTAGACATGCATATATTAATACACACAGTTATACTGTGGCTAGAAGCAGCGTGATTTTGGCACTGACAAATGTACAAAACATTGTAAAATCAAACTTAAGGAAAACTTGCAAATTTAGTACTTGATAAGTAGCAGCAGATGCTGCTTTGCATTAGAGTAATATTAATTGTTGTATACATTGTTAGATAAAACATTGGTAATGCAAGCGTACAGAAGTGTACAGGCTTAATACAGCAGAAAATGTAATTACAATTTTACTACTTCTGTTTAATCTTATACTTTGTACTTGTATTTTTGATTTGGGAGAAAAAAGTAGGTGGTGGTTTTGATGTGTTAATAATGAGTTTCAGGCCTGGATAATTTATTATTCAAAAACTTTAAGAAATTGAGAGATATTTATTTGTAAAATTGAAGTATTTTCTCCAGAGAGATAAATTTTATTTAGAACACCTGGCACTTTGCAGTGAGTTAATGAACATCTTGTTACATTTACCTTTGGGAATTGTCTAGTCTATGTCTTGTTTGCTGTCGTCTAGTAGACTTGCAATTTCTGTGTTTATGGGCCAGTTGTATATGTTATGATGCTTTAGAGAGTTTGCATTTTAGAGGAAGAAAACTTGATCTCGTATGTTTCACGAACTTCACTAGGAGTTTCTTTGCTTTCTACTTAGAAGGGAAGTATGGTTCACATTTACGTATTCCTCTAGAATGTGGATTGTAGGGAATCTAACATACTTGTTAGTAAAACTTTAAAAAGTAATTTTTTTTGCTCTCAGTGTTGGACTGTTTCTTATCTCTGATGATAAGAGAGGTTAATTTTGATCAGCTGTGAGACAAAAACAATCTGCAACTACAACCTGAAGTTTAAGAAGAGTGGATTCTTGGTAGTGGCTCCAATACTGAGTATAATGAGTTTCTGAAGAGGAGCAGTTGCATTCCTGATATGTGTGCATCTTGACTGCTACCTGTAGCAAGCACATTGAGGTGGGCCTGGAAATACGAGAGTGCTGGCATAACTGTTTAACAGGTGTTTTCTCTGTGATTGATTCTTGTGTGCTCTGAAAGAATTATTTAGCTTCTTTGTAACAAATTTCTTTATTACTGTAGTCATGAGAAGTGATTTTAAGCTTTATGAATCTGATCTGCTGTAGTAGTCTTTGCTAACAGGCTTTTGGCTGTTTGCTTTTCACAATTTCTTTTCCATCTTTAGCTTCAGTTTCACCTCTCCTCTTTTGTGCTTCTGTTCAGGGTGAGAGTGCCACTTGCATATTATTTTATAATAAATTGTGTTGTACTCAGTGAGAGGGTTTTCTAGTGAAAGCTAGCTGAAATTGGAAATGCTTTTTTTTTTTCTTCCCAGTTGGCCCTTCTTCTAACTGTAAACACCCTGTTGTGATACCTCATTAAACCCACCCTACTGTAGCAACTTCCAAAGTGGTTTTATGTTATGTTTTTCAGAAACTAATTTTTTTTCAAATATGCTACAACATTGCACATATGGTTTTATGGATAATTTTAATACAAGTGATAGAGGTGACTCACTGAAGAATCAATGCTATTTAAGAACTTATAAAGAAATTTGCTGGTAGAATATAGGTACATCATCTATATTTGTGATTTAAGGGGTAATACTGAACTGCATTGCGTTAACAGAAAAACAGAGTTAGAACTGCCATAGCCTTTCTAAATTGTCGCTTTTTACTAGATCATAGCAAGCGGAAGAGATTGGCTTTCTCAAGATGATATAAAAGCTGGAATTTCTTTTTGTGGGAGCTTGTAAATAAATGGAGACTGGCTTGACTCCAGAGAAATGTTTAGCTCATCAAGAAGTTTCCACATGAATTTAAATCAAGTATTTCATGGTTATGGAGCTGATAGAAACATTTAAAAAGTTCATAAAGAAGAAACATTCAAAAATGTTTTTCCTAATTCGTAGTTTTATGTCTTGAGATGAGGTGTGTGCATATGTATGTGCCTTTGGCATCACAAATATTTGTTTCAAAACATGTCATAAAATTAGAAAGCTTGTAGAAAGCTCCTAGAATAAAGAAAAACACGTCTTATAGGCTGATTGTATCCCTGAGAATGTGGATTGTGTAAAATGATGATGAGCAATGTTTGAGGAGAAACATCTGTAAGCACACTTGCAATCATCATCCTTAGGATGGAGGAATGGGCAAGGCGTGTAAAAAGGAACTTGGTTTACTAGAAGTTGTAACCTTTTCTTTCTGTAACCTGTGCTGTAACACACACAACCCCCCACCCACACCGTCCCCCCGGGGATTTAGCTGCCTGTGGCCCAAGGGTCCAGGGGTCTGGATTATGGGTTATGCCCAGCTGGATGACCTTGGCTCACGCTGCTGAGAAACAGCTGTGAGAAAGTCTGCAGAAAAATAATAAAATTACAGGTAGGATTGTTGAGACAAGATCATTAGTAGCTCAGGGATTCCAGAGGAAGATACCAATGTGGAAGATATAAAATCCTAAACTGGAAAAACAGGGAACCAAGCTGGGGCAGGAATTGTTGGGCTACCAGGTCAAGTTGTTAGTGCCGATGAGGCTGGCAGAAGATGGCGGCTCAGCAATATTCAAGGATCTGTCTCAGGGAGCCACAAAGGCTGCCCTCCCAGCTCTCTGCCTGGCTAGCAAGGACTTTTCAGGTGCTTTATCAGGAGTGATGAACATATTAATGCTTAGCCAGTATCACATCCTCATCTTAAGTGTGTTAACCATTAATTGTTTTACATTTTTAAGTTTCTGCATCTTGCCTACAGCTTTGCTCTGCCCCCAGCTGAGTATGCCAGAACATAGTGACTCAGAAAAGGGGTGGTAAAAGAATAATTGAACAGAAATTTCGATATTAATTGTAAGGTTTTGGTTTTGTCCCCCTCAAGAATAAATAATTAAAATTCAGTGAGTTAAGGGGTGCATCATGTATCTACCCCTAGCACTTAAGGTTTATTTTGAAGGTGTAACAAGAGTGCTGCATTAGGCTTGTCCTCAGAGAAATCTCCTTCAACAACGAGTGGTATTTTAAACTCAGGCTGGTTCCAGTGTTATTGGTGCTTGAACAAATCATGGAGTGGGACTTCGTCAATGCAGCAAAGCATCAGCCGTCAAGCTAGTAACACATCTTTCTGTTGTCCAGTCACTTTGTGCCTGTAACTGTCTTCTGTGGTGTGACCAAAATATGCTCACTACATCTATCCTTTTTAGTAAATCAGAGCCTGTTGATATGGAATGCCTGCACTCCATGCAGCCTGGATGAAAATCTCTTAGCTCTGGCTTCTGGCTGTTTTAATGGTACTAAATGGCTTCTTGATTTACTTTGAGTTTGTACAGGGATGGCTTCTAGTCAGTTATCTACTTAATCTCTACTGTTATTCCAAGGCAATTCTGCCATCCTTTCTGAAGTGTTTTAAGTATTCTTCAGAAGGGTTACCATTCAATATTCAATCTTAGCTATCCACGTCTATACCACTGTTTGCTAGAGAAATACTTTGATGCATTGTCACAGCATGCCTGCTACGTTGTTGTTGCCATCTTCCTTATGCACCCCAAAGACAAAGTACTGGGTGAGAAGATTCTTTGGGTTGGCTTAGTATAGCCATTCTTAACTAATGAGGTACGATAAAGATAAGCAAAATATGATGGTCACTGATGGTGGACGCCGCAGCGTTTTGGAAGGAGATGCAGCTTTCATACCAACATTGGTGGGAATAGGATTTTGATCTTTCTTTGATCTTCCCCAGGCACTGGAATGATGTTATCAGGCAGCATAAATGAAGCTCCTAAATCATGCCTAGGTCATGAGTTGAAATTGATGAGGCTTGGAAATGCAGAATTGCACCTCCCCCCCCTCCCCCGCCATTTCTTTAGTTCTTACCCTTTTCTACAGTAAGAAAATACATGGTTTTGTTACCCTGTTTTCTTATTTTTCTCCCATACAATGTGGACTTAAACTTCAGTTTACTCAGATCCTGATTGTGCGCTTATCTCTCTATAAGATACCCAGGCATCCACAGAAATCCTTGGCACTTTCAGAAGGGTTCAGAATTGTCAGTGTGTACATGCACTACATTGCAGGGCTAGAACTTGACTTTGAAAGGAATGTATCAGAGTTTAATAAAAGTTAAAAATGAAAGTAAGAATGATTTAGGCTTTTTCTTGAGTGATGAGTGACTTGTGATTAGTTATACACTTCTTTTTAAAGAGACTGTTGAAGTAGTATTACCACCTATTAAAATGAATGTGCCAGTTTTAAATTCATAATCAATTATCCTTTTACTTTTTATAGTTGTCTTCTCTGAGGAAGAGAGAGAGCAGCTGAGAAAGTTCACAAATAAATCTTATCTTCTGGATAAAAGAACCCGTCATCATGTATATCTTGGTTTAATTGATATCCTTCTGGCATATTGCTATGAAATCTGTGTCAATGAAGGAGACAAGAATGTAAGTTAAAAAAATAAAACCCCCAAAATTTAGTATGTTTTAGGAACCTAGTGCTGGACCCGGTACTGTCATTTAGGAAACTTACCTTTTGAAGTGAACTTGCTTCCAAGCATTAAAAATATATAATTGAGTAAGTTAAAATGAAAGACTTCGTATCTCTAGATTGAGCTGTTGGGATGCATGTGGGGATTAATATGATTTCTAAATACTTCAGTTCTTCTGGAGCAGCATTTTAGCTGTAGGAGAGAAGTGGAGTTGCAAGACTCCAGACAATTCTGTTTGTTTCTGATTTGTTTTGCATTGTGATGTGTCTTGAATTATGTAAATGCAGATTTCACAAAATAATTGTTCTTTTATATTGATGGTTCTTCCTTCTGTTGTTTGGACAGTTCCATAATAGGTGTGTTTGTAATAACACCACTGCTGATTTGGTTTCTGAAAAAGCATGGGAAATCATTAAATATGTAGGACTGAAAATATGTGTTTAGTATTTTGTATAGGCTACCTTTATATGCCTTTAACTAAACTGATTTTTTTAGGTTTTTTTGTGGGTTTGGTTTTTTGGTTTTTTTTAAAGCTTATGCACTGAGTATAGAAGGTGTTTCCTGAGGTATTCTGCAAACTAGAGTGAGGCATTTAAAATTTTTAAAATTGACACACATTTAAAAAAATCCTAATGCAGAGTTCTCTTTTTCTAGTAGTCAAACACTGGAGAGAAGTAGGAAGGCATGTTTCCATTTTCAGGATTCTGGTGTTTGCCCATCTCTTACACAAGCAGCAGCCAGCTTTATTTTGTGTTCTGTATCCTAGGCTTTTTACAGGATATAAAGAATTGAGAAAATAGCATAAGTTTAGAATGGATTTCATGCTGTTCTGTGGATAGCTTGCCTTTTTGAAGTGGACTTGCTTCCCAGATACAACTTTCTGCCTAGCATCTCCTTTGCTGATACTAAGCAATGAGATGTTTTCGCAATACTTTTAATCGAAATATTGGAACATGTAATCAAAACCATTCTGTCTTAATCAGACTGAATTGCAGGGCATGGATTTTAGAATGGCAGGCAGAAATGTCCACACCTGCTTATTCAGCAGAATAATCTAGGTTCGTTGTTGTATTGCGTGTTAGTGTTGCATAAAATTGCAAACATGAGAGGAACACAATTGTACAATTCTTTATTGATCTTTGGAATAACTGTGTGGTATATGTGGAGAAAACACTGGGGTGTGGTGTTTTTTGTTTTGTTTTGTTTTGTTTTTTTTTAAATAGGAAAACCAAGACATTCAGGCCACACAGATCTTTAATAGAGCCAGGATTATAGATCAAGGCTTCCTGGCTTTTTGCCCTCATCATCCCACTAGACCACATTACCACACAAATACTATGAATCTGTCACATTTTAAAAATCATGACATTTTACATGTACTGCTGGCTTTAGGACCCTCTCTAAAAGCCAAAACTCTTGAGCTGTTTTCACAGAACAAGGCATTTTAGCTTGAGCTTTGTTGATTCATGTTTCTGTTGCTTGGTGAAAAGGGACAGAATTCCACCAAAATACCATTTTTCTGTGATTGCTGTTGTATTTTAAAGGCTTTGTGCGTGAGCTAGATATTCCCAATACAGAAACCAATTCAGTTATTTAACATCTGCATTGCAATATAATTTTTAACGCTGTCCTGTGGCCATTTCAATGCCCATAATATAATTACTGCTTCATATTCACAAAGGTTCTTAAATTGCTGCAAGAATGTTATCTTAAATAGTTTGCCAGCAGTCTTGAATGTTGAATTAGATAATACTTGTTTTACGGTCTCCTCTTAAAATCAGGTTGAATCGTCTTGGAACATCAGGAAATTGAGTGCAACATTGTGCTGGCTGGAGGTAAGTTAAAAACTTAAGTTTTGCATTATGTGTTTGCTTTATTATTTGTTTTTGGTGTTGGATGTTGCTTTTGTGGAAAGCTTACTCTTGCAGTATTAAAGATGAATTAAAGCCTATGTTGTCTTTTTAAGAAATGTTACAAAAAATTGATTGTGACTTCTGGGCTCCTGGCTACTAGTAACCTCCAGAGGCTGGAGTATGACCTCTTGTCTGTCTGGGTGCTGGGCCGCCTTCTGGCCCGTTCTGGAAAAGCTAAGGATAGGCACTATGAAAAACCTGCTCGTCTACATGCTGTCCGTAGCTCCTGGGCTTGATTCACAAGTCCTGACCTTTATTTAGGAAGTAACTAATTATTCCTCACATATGTCCACAGTATGTGTGTGAAACTCCATGCTTAGGGCAAGGAAACATAGCCTTCCAGCTCCTTGATCAGAAGTTATAGATATCTTCCCGTTTTAACTGACTAACGCAAGTTACAATAGAAAGGGCATAAAAAGCAGGGTATGTAATTTCTTAGTGTTCTTGTGTCTGTCCTTTAAGTCCTACCTCAGATATATGCTTTAATGACTTTTGAAGATGGCAGGCCTTAATAAAGCAGCTTATTGTTCACTTCTGGGGGTTTTGACTGCTGAGCCTTTCTTCAGCCGGAATTCCTAGTTCATCACTCTGCACTTCTAGCTTGCTCTTTTTCTTGGCTGCATATCAGGTGGCTTCTGGCTTCTCCCCCATTCTGCTGTGTGGCTTCAGAGTACATCGGAGAGTGGAACTGGGAAGCCCAGAAGTAAATGCAAACCCAATGATAGGAAAAGCTCTTAGAATTCAATCAAAAGATGGTGGTTTGGGATTTTTTTTTCCACCTATCATGGAGAAGCTGAATTCCACATTCTTGTAGCAAAAAGACCTCAGTTCTATAGTTGTAGAACTGTTGTCTCATTAAGGCTTTAATGATTGTGTGATCTTTCAGACATGTGCTGAATACTTTTGTTTTGGGTTTCTTGCAGAGTTAGTTAGTGGACATATGTGGCTTTACCTGTCCCTTCTTTTCAGTGTTATTGCCACATCCCTGTTTGTTTAGTTGCTGCTAGCCCTTTGAAACCAACATAGACTACAGGAAACAAACCAAATTCTATTCTCTGCACTTTCAGATTGTTTACTGAAGGCATGCAAGCCTGTGTAATTAAGTTGTTACAGAGCTGGAAGTGGAAGGGACTTTACCTGGCCTGTAATCCATAATTTCTTATGATGGCAGCAAGCTAGAAAGAACTGTCCCGTCCTCATTCCTGAAATTACTGAGCCAAGTCGCAGTTTGCAGGATCAAAAATAAAATTTGACAGGATTCTGGGGTTCAGTCCTTCAAACATTTCTAGTAGTGGCAAATGTGATATATAAACCTGTTCAGTGACAACTGGTTTTCTAGATCTGTTATTTTTAATTTGTTTCCAATTGAATGTTCTGCAGCAGCAAGTCACAAAGGAGTGCAGTTAAAATGCAGTGATTGCCTTAACTCTCCAATTTTTTTCAGATCCATATCCTAACACAGGGAAGGGTTTTTCTGCATGTGCTTATCCTATAATATAGCAGTTCTTGGCGCAGCCTGTGCCAACAGTATATTTCACACCCAGAAAATTCAGTCTCCTGGCACCAAGCTGTTAATAACTATATCTGTTATACAAACCATGTAGAGGCGGGTGTTTTCATCAATCTGTAAACAAAATTGCCTCAGCTATGGTTTGTTTGAACTGACTGCCATTTTGCTGTGCATGACATGTGCACACCTTAGACTCTAAATATTAAATAACAAAACATAAATTATTTAAATGCTTACCAGCGATCCATTAAAATGAAAAATGAGTTGAGGTAGTCATATAATGCAAAAAAGTGCTGGCTGTCAGCAAAGCTTTTTTATTAATTTTAATAAATTGAGAGTTCAAGATGAAATAGGTATTTTTATTTGAATTCATAAATGGAATATTTTGTCTTGAAAAGTGAAAGCTGGAAAGGAAATCACTGTCTTAGGAAAGTCTTTAATAACTCATTAATGCCTCTGGCCTGAGTAAATTAGAGGTCTTCCTCACTCGTAAAGGAGGACAATGAACTGCCTTCCCTAGGCAGATATATTTATCCCTGTCTTGAATATCTATAATTTTCATGAAAGGCAGAGTCATGTATCATTTTTAAAGATCTTACATGTACACATGTATTTTGTTAATATCATGTGGTTTTAATTTTTCTTTATTCTTAAAAGGCTTTTTATAGCTTCCCCTTAATAGATATAATAATGTGGGACAGATGTAATTTATTGCTTTAATCTAAAGAAGGAAAAGTCTTGAGTTAGATGTTTTATTCTAATGTTCTCTACATTCTTTTTTTTTAAATTCAAAACCACCAAAAGGTATAGGACTTCTGTAATCCTGCCATGCAAACTAATTGTGCAGTGCCTTGTTTCTATTTAATGTCTTGATTTCCACATCTATTAAAATACAGATTTTTAGATACATGATATATAAAAGTGTGCTTTTTTCTATTCTGCTGTGACTTTTTTCCTTAAAGGAAAACAAATGAAAACCTAATTCTTTGTATTGAAAAGCACACAGACTAATTCAGATTTTTTCACTGATATACAGAGTTTTGCTAGCATTCATGACGTCCTGGTATCTTTTGGAAGAAGAGTGCTATGCTATCCCTTACACAGACATTTTGGATTAGTGACACGTGCATTCAGTGATACAGTCATGATACTGCAACTAGGTAAGTTTTTCAGGGGTTGGCAAGTGATGCCGATATAGCCACGTTGTTTGTATGTATGGTTATTTTAATAACTTTTGAATCCTTTGGCCAGTTTCACCCAAACTTGATAGATATCGACATTTCTGAACACCTTGCAGCTTTGTGAAAATGGGGCTGGGGAGAGAAGAGAACAAAATTAGTGTCCTTACCAGGAAAAAGCCCCTGAAGCAGCTCATTTATTAGCCAGCGGGTAATACATGCAGCTGTGGTGTAAATTCAGCTGTGTTTTTTTCACGCCAGAAGATCTGCACAGAAGAAATGTTATGAATGTCTCATCCTTAGAAAAATCTTTGATCAGATCCTCTATCTTGGTAAATCAGGATAGTCCAACCGTGATTCGCAAAGCTTTAGGGAAAAGGTCTTGAAAGTATTTTTCTTTATACTGTATTTGTCTGTAAAGAGATTTTTTCTGTTGGAAAAGGACATTTTAATGAAGATTTTGTTCCAGTAGGTTAGATACTGTAATTTTTTTAGACCCTATTCTAAAGGTGTCTAAGTTTTTATTTCAAAGCAGGGTCACTTAATTGTTATAAGTATAGCAGCAGTCTTGTTCTTTGTGTTCTTTAATTACCTGACTGAAGCCCTGTTAAAAAAGATTGGAAGGATTTCTGGTAACTTCCATGATTTGTCTCTGTCTAAAGGAAGTTTTTAAAGCATCATCATCTTCAGTTGTTCCAACTGTTCTGTTTGATTAAGTTCTGGTCATCATGGTTTTGCAGTTACAAATCTGGGCAGCTTCCCTGTGTGATTTACTGTTTGGAAGAACTGTTGTTTTAATTAACCCTTGTCAGTGATGTTAGGATTTTGACAGAAAGGAAGCTTACCCTAATGTTGAATTCCTGCTTTCCTTGCCAGTTTGTTTTTCTAGTATTAGATATTCTGGGGTTTTGTTTTGTTTGTTTGTTAAACTGAGCCAGTCCATTAACTATTTTCTTTTTTTCCTGTTCAAAATAACTATAGTTGACATCTAGCTATCTTAATTCCTAAGCTGTTCCATTGTGTGTGCCAGTTTAGTATTGTCATTCAGAATCACATATTTGAGGGCAAGGGGTAGTTCTGTGGTTCATATTCAGTGTTACAGTTCTTTGTGGGATTGAGGCAAAATGGTTGAGATGACTCTGTGCTAAGTTCAGTGGTAGTCTGGGAAGAACAGAAATCCTGAATTTGTATCAGCATCAAAACGTGTTTTGAATCATTGTTCATTTAGTATGTCCTGTGTAACTTTTCTCTCTTAAGAAAAGACACCAAAATCTCTGACTTGTGTATGTTATCTTAGTTCTCTGCTTGTTATTGGGAAAATAAGACAGTTCTAAATAACAGCCAAGTAGAGCTGTTCATAAAAAACAAGCAGTGAATACCATGAAAGCTATTCTGTTGAAAAAATAAATAAATAAAATTTAAAAAAAACCCCAACATTTAAAAGTGAAGAATAAAAAACTGACTACACATCTGTAGCTTTGTTTTGTTTCACATTCAGGAGTGGAGCTGTCGTCATCTTGATGACTGCAAATTATTCTTTCAGCAGCAACATCCTTTTTATATATTCCCTCTTTATCCCAGACAGCTTTCATGTAATAGTACAAACTTTCAAACCTATGGTTATTCCAGCTTCAGTTGTGCAGTTATACACAACCATGTTTGTATCTTGGGTTGCTAAAGTTACTTGCAACTTTTCTGTTTATTGTGAGTTAGTATTTTCAAAAAAAGCATTCGGTGTTAGATGATTTCTTTTTTTTCTGGACAGAAGAATCACTGAGAAACAGCACTTTGGTGGTTTATTTTCAGTGCTTTTGAGTTGTAGGATTTAAAAAAAAAAACAACAAATGGCAATATTAATCTCTGTTACTGCCAAAAACTATTGATGATTCAAAATACCATTTACATTATAACAGTGAGGTAGTGAAGTTTTAGGGGGAAGATACACGCTGTCCCTCTTTACTTATCTGCACTGGCTTATGCTGCTGTTCGTAAGTGTGAAAATAAAATTCCGTTAACAAAACTGAAATCATACAGCGCTGCCAGCCTTTTAGACTTTTTTCTTAAGAGGATAGTATGTGAGACGTAAGCTGTTTGCTTTTCTCTTGATGTTATGATGGAAAATGGTATGGGAGTGGACATTCGATGATCCAACGAAACATTTTCAGTAGTTTGGTAAGGGAGGTGGCATCTACAATAACTGTGTGTCAGGTTTCCTACTCCATCCTCCTGTGTTGGATATGCAGCTGCTGTTGCCTCCTTACCCTCTGCTTTTAAAACCCAGTGGCCCCAGTAGTGCTCATCGTCATTGTCTCCTTGTGTCGCCTGTGATGGTCTTGCTCCAACAGCCAAGTCCCTGTCTTCTCTGGGGGAGTGTGCGAACTCATTCTCTACTGGGGCAAGAGATAGGCTAGCCTTGCTTTTTCTGACCTCAGTGATTTGCATAAAAATTACTGCCATAAGCTTTAAAAGAAATTCAGCTTTCTTCAGTTGATGGTTAGAATGGTTTAGAAGCAGCAGCAGAAGTTAAAAAATGCAGCAGGTCTGGCTTCGTTCTGTGCTGCGCTGGTTGCCTGGGAAACGGTGCAGGATGGTCTGACCGGCTGCCTCCGCAGAGCTGGCCGTGGATCTTCGAGATGCTGAAAAGGCACGTGCAAGCCTCAAGAAAGAAGAATGTGTGTCCACTTCACCTGGAGTTGTTAATAGTGGAGAAGAGGACACTACCTTGAGTGTGAGCTGTGATAATCTCCAGGGGCTGCCTGGGAAGCAGACACAAATACCTTACTTCCTTCATGTGGGCATAAATCTCTTGGGAGAGGGATGTTAGCAAATTAGCAGTGTAATGATAAAGGTAATGGTGATTAATGTTAACTTCTGAAAGTTCTGGGGTTTGTGCAACAAATTAGTACTTACTGTTATGGTGTGTGTATAGGGTGAAAAGCGCTAAGTTTTTTTAAGTAGCCAACTACCAAAGAATTGGGGAAGGTACAAAATGGATGTATTACCTGTCTATAATCACAAGTTGGGGGGGGAAGCGTGTCTATGTATTCTTAAAAGAAATGGATTTGTAGATAATGCTTTTACTGTCAAGGCACATTTGTTCAGTCAAAATGTTTCTTCCTTCAAACTTCAGTGGAAGTTGAGTCATGCTTTTGAGGAATTTCTGGTTTTACAAAATACTTAGCAAATTATGCAATGTGCAGAGCATAGTAGTTATAGCATTAAATACTCTGTTACCCTCATTGTTGACTGGAAATGATGCCTCACCAGTTTGGCACTGTATTGCAATACATGCATGATAAACATAGGTAAAAATGACTGCCAAGTAACAGATAATGAATTCAATTAAGTAGTACCACAAAACTGTTCCTTTTCATGTAGATGCAAGAGGACTGGTGTTTAACTTAAGAATCAGTTTGGGTTGGCCTCATCCCGACTTGGGGTTTCTTTCAGGATGCTGGTAACAGAAGCTGGGACATAGTATAATACAATGTTTCGATAATAGTAATAATAAGCACAGTAAACTAATTTATTTAAAAATAGTAAAGAATTCTGATGGGACTGAATTGTTATGCCTAAAGTTATGTAACTTGACTTTAAAAATATTAGTGCTATGATGGTGGATCACTTCCGAGGTACAGGATACTGCATTTTTAAGCTATTAAGGATCCTTGCGTGTGGTTGAAACACTTCTTATTTTGAATTAAGACTTCCTAACAAAGTGTTAATTGTAAGGCAAATGCATTAAGCTGATTAATGTTGAGGTCCTCAGCAGATTTTTTTCATATACTGTTTTAGTGATCTATAATACTTAAAATACCTCAGCAAAACTGTTCAAAATTCAGCATAGTTATCTAGGATATCTACTGTATTTATCTGTTCTTTGGATAGGATTAAAAAAGTGTATGAAATGCAGTGGTACATCCAGCTACAGTGCTATTTCCGATAAAATGTATATACTGCATTTGACAGTTGACTAACAAAAGTTTATCAGGTGTGGGTTTTATGTAAATATATGGAGCCCTTTTTCTTTTCAATAGATTTATAATAAGTGGTGTGGGCTGGTTCTCTCAGTATTTACTGACACTGTGTTACCATTGCATAGTACTGATTTGGAAGTTACCATCTATGAGCTAATAATGAAGAGGAAACTCATTTGTGCTCTTTTCTGCAACATAAAATATGCTTTGCTTCTTTCCGTATGGAAGTTAACACTAATAGATTAAGGATTCTATAATTACCCATTAAAAAGAGATAGTACTGTTGCCTAGCTGGGTAAGTTATTACCAGGACATTTTCATTTAAAAGGCCATAAGAGTTCTTTTCTTGGTTTTAAGAGTGCTGTTCTTCACTCTTTTTAATGAGACAGCAAAGTTCAGTTTATCTTTAGATAAATGCTCCTCCTTCTTGAAAATGTGGAAAAAACATACAAAAGTCTGCAGGAAAAATGACTTAATGTAAAATAGAATGATGGGACTATTAATTTCCTTTGCTTCCAAATACTCAGTATGAAAGCTGGTAGAATTTCCTGATGCTGTGAAATCAGTAGGTTATTGTATTAAATGGCAGATATAGAACGAGGGTCAAATTGTATTCTTTTTTGAACTAATCTGTGGAAAGAGAACTGGATTTCTGAAACTGTAGAATTCAAGTTGTGGGCTGTCATCTGCCAGCTGTCATAGCAATGAACTCCAGAAGAATCCAGTGATCTGCAGACATATGCTCTAACTTCTATGATTTTTGCCTTGTCTGCTCAGCCTCTTTGCTGCTTTTTCTCTGAAGTTAAAGCTCATCCTCTCCCCAACAGCAGTGTAATGATTTCTAATGGCAGGAAAAGAAAACCACCTTTGTCTCAGAAAAACAATGGGTTAATACTTAGATTTGGTATCCCATCTTGCAATATATCCCAATTTCAAGTTGGTTGTTGTCCTCCTTTATCTCTAACGCAGCTCTTCACATCAAGAAATAGAGGGTAGTAGAGTCTGTCTTAAGTCATACACTTTTAAGTTCTACATTTTAAATTTTAATAGTTAGAAGATCAAATATATGTTTTATTCTGTTACATAAGTTGGAATATTTTTATTTGTACTTTTAAATATAACGGGTTTTGGTTTTGAATAATCAGGAAATAGTATCTGTACACAAAAAGCAGCGTGTTTATTGATCAGTATAATGCAGAGCTCTTAACTTTACACAGAAGACATGCAAAAACTGACTTAAAAATAAACCATTCATAATTTCCTGAGATGATTATCAAAGTTTCTTGTGCCTGCTCTTAAACATTTATTGCTGTTTTTCTAAATAGACAGTTTTTCTTCTTCACCCTTGAACTTAAATGTGCTTGCCTCTTTAAGCTATGTGAAGAAAATGAAACCGGTTATCATTGGCATGTCTTCATCTTCTATTCCATGGTTTTCTTAACTCCAGTATACAGTGAATTTAAAAAAATGACAATCCTAGGGCTATAAAAGAAGTAAGACCTTTAAAACTAGCACATTTTAGGTTTGCTTTGACAGACAACCTTTTAGTGAGTTGGACCAACATAGCTGCCAAAAAAGCCCCTAGCCTGTTCATCTTTTTGCTTTATCCGTTCTCTGATCCAGTTCACTGTATGGTTTCACAAATACTTGCACTGGCACATCACAAAGAGCTGTGGAAAAGGAGGTGGCAAAGGAGTGCAACAAAGAGTACTTAAGCCAGTGTAAGTAGTAATACTACTGAATACATAACCACAGCCTGAAAGTTAAGACCAGATGTCTAGTGAAGACTGAAGCAGATATCCAAAGGCAGAACCTACGGTATGGAATTTCACAGAAATAGGCCAAGAATCATCTGTATGTTACGGAATATCCTACATTAAGGCTTAAATAGTGTTTGCTCTTCAGCTCTTATTTTTTATTGCTGTGGTAAGGAGTTAAATGCTGTTTTGTGTAAGGACTTCTTGTATATAGGGTGCATGTATAAGATACATATTCTGAAAGCAGAAGTTTGGTAGTTTGCTGTGCTCCATGTGTTTGCTTGTATGTAGGGTTCCCTATTTTATTAAGTCTGACTAGATTTTCAATCCCTCTGATTAGAGGACCATTAATCTACTATAATCTTTAATTTATGAAGAAAGACTACTTTTTATTGAGAATTAGTGTTATAGTCACTAATTTACATTGTTACTTGGCAGATGAGTAACAGTACTGGATATTGTAAATGGTGCTGGCTGGCAGCCTGACAGCTAGAACCTTAAAAAATTAGCAAAATTTTAATTCCACATATCATTTCTTTTTAAAAGAGCGCACTTCTTTTTAGTTAAAATAGTTAAGTTTGACAAGCTTGGCTTAATAAGCATTGACGGTGATACAATCTAAAAGTTCATCATTTATATTTGGGATTTTATATTTTCTTTCCTGACTTTTCTTCAGCTCGTCTCTTCCAAACCAGTGGGGTTTTTCAATTCTGTTTGCCATGGCTTTTTACCTTCCACATTCTTTCTCCTTATTGCCATCTTCCACATCCTTTAGCTTTCATTCTCTGTCTATATTTTTTCAGCATGGAATTACTTAAAAACAAACAAATAAATTTTGTGCTTGAACAGCAGGGGGAGTTCTGATCCTTTTTTTTTTTTTTTTTTTTTTTTTTTTTTTTTTTTTTTTTTTTTTTTAATCTGTAAAATGTAATTTCATCCATGTTCAGGTTTCATAGCCTAGGAGGAGCCAGCCTCTTGGGAGAGGGTTATTAGATTCCATTTGCAGTAGTGGCTGTTTTCATTTGAATAGTTTTTTTTTTTCCCCCCATTAAAAAGTGAAAATAATTATTTTTATTTTTTTAGTGCTCCAGCACTTAACCCTTTAGCAACTTTCACCAGAAAACCAAGGGAGGAGATTCCAGCTAATTGGAGGTTACATTAATCAGTTCTTTTCTTCATAAACAGTGGTTGCATATGAAGAAAATTAAACTGACTACAAAAAGATTTCTGGTTGTGGAATGAGAAAACATTCAAGGTTTTAATCTTTAACTGCATTTATCAACTGTATGTCAAATGGCACCTTCTTGAGCCTGAAGTGAGGTTTTCTTTCTGGGGTCTCAATTTGCCAAATTATTCTGTAACTAGCAGAAGTAGGAAAATTTCTGCTTAATTTAAGGCAATGGTTAGATGTTAGGCAATGGCATCGCTTACACAATTGCTGTGGTTCCTGCATGCTTAATCCTGCTGTGGGCTGTGTGTTCCCAACCTTACTCTTTTCCAACACAGGTATTTGTGCAGGTATACAGGAAAACAGGTTTTCCCTTTCTTCAGATAAATGATGGGGCATAACTTTTTGTTATTTGCGAGTTACTTTTCAGCTTGCCCTTTTTTTTTTTTTTTTTTTCAGTATGGTGCACTGTATGACTGTGCTAAAGTCTGGGCCGGCACAGCTCAGACAAGTGGAAAACCTGGGGGAGGGGGCTTCTTCAGCTGTAGAGAATTACACGCATGACTATGCCTTGAGGCTTCAGTCTTGCAGAGATTGCTACTGAATTCAGAGGCTCCACATCCACATAGATGTGGATACTAAAGGGCATAGTCATATTACTGCTGTTCTGAGACTGTGAATCAACTTCACGTTACAAGATAGTTGTAGATAGCATGGTTATTAAAACCTCAAAGGTGAGAAGATGGTAAAGATTATCGATTATGGTTTCTAGTGAATTACAAAAATAAAAATCTGTTTCCAGGAAAAGCTGCAGTTTTGAAGTGTCTGCTGGACATTCACAAGATTTTTATGGAGAGTGACCCTGCCTACATCCTTAATGATCTCTTCATTACAGACTATTGCATCTGGATTCAAAAAATCAAGTAAGTTCTTTAGTTATTGATGTGGGAAATGTTTTTAGCATACTTCATCTATGAACAAGTGTCAGTAAAATCAAAAGAAATGCCATCTCCTATAAATGGAAATGTGATCAGTCTTTTTCATTTAGTAACCTTGGCTATTCAGCTATTCTTACTACATAAGCAAAGACATGCAGTGCATTTTTTTATGTAGTGACATCATTGGAGAAGGGACAGAGGAATTGCATTTTAAATAAAAATGTAAATTTTCATTCATATATTAATGGTTTTGGAGGAAAAAAATAGCTTCTGGGGAATTTTCATTCTATTGCAATCTTTCTCAGAAAGAAAAATGTTTATATAGCACTTACGTAACATTAGGAAAAAGGTTGGAAACAACTCCTAGTTCAGAATTGAATTTATAACTTCCAACAGAATTGACAATTTCCAATTCTGGTCAGACGCGCATGCAAACTATTTACATCTGTATGAAACAGATGACTTATGGACTGTAGCAGTTGTACCAATTGATTATTAACACCAGAATAAGTGTCACAAATTTCTGTGCGCTGTGTACTCTTGCCCCTGTAGTCGCTTGCCAGCTCACTCTCCCTGACGATATGCTTTGGCTTCCACTTCACTTGAGAGGAAACAGTGACTGCCACTTCCAGACAAAGTTCCTACGCTTCAGCACTTCTGTCTCACCTGTGTTCTTACAATGGAGTTAGTGTGGCTTTACTTATTTCCAGAGCCTTGGGAACTTTGTAACCAGACTGGTTAGAAGTATCAGCATGCTTTAATGGTTTGAAAACAAAAGTATTGGTGGGGGAAACAGTGAGAAATGGATTAAATGAACAAAGCAAGCTGCATGTTCTAATCTTACTAAGCTTTATATTGTTGTTGTCAGGTTTATTCTGTTTTTCACACAGCTTTTGGTTTTTCTCCCTCCCTTTTTATGTCTTCACAGCCTTCTTTGAAGGCCCACAAAAGCACATGTATGAGTTGCAAGTTGTATTTCTCTGAAAAGGAAGGCATTACTAATATAAACACAAAAATTGCCATTGTCATATTTTTTAATACAGCGACATATAGACTCATAAAACAGTGAAACTCATTAAAAGTCTTTGCATTCCAGTTTACAATTTAACAAGAGACTGTGGGAGGAAAAAAAAACTTCTTAAGTGCACAAGACACAAGAAGCAGTGAGGGGATATAGAGGGAACCTGGTAATAATCATGCTCAGAAAGGGGAATATGAAAGAGAATTGAGCCAGCTTGCATAGGCTGTATATTTAGGTGTGATCTTACCAGTACTTCTTAGATACTTCTTAGAGAATTAAAGGCCTTCAGTTCATAGCTGCTTATTACATGTTGTAGATATTGTTGAACCTTATTTGTTGTATGCTTTCATTGACTATATTCCTATAGGTACAATGCACAAAATATTCTAAAACAACTACAGGTGTTTCCGAACATTTTGATTCATCAATCCTGATTCATTACAGGAACAGCTGGTTCATTTTACATTGTCATTTTTGAGGAGGCCTGTTTGAGCCACAGCTTAAATACGAGTATGGGGAAATTCATGTTCAGGTTCAAGTTGAGTTGAAAAAGTGCAGTAAATGAAGGAGGGAAAAGTTATTTCATGCATCTTTCACGAAGAAATGAGTCATAAGACAGTAATACCACTGCTGCCCGTATCAATGAATATAATGTCTAGCAAGTCAGTCATAAAACCCAAGGCCTTCTTTAAATACAGCAGCAAAAAATGTATGGTACATATAAGTGACTGATATATTAACACATTTACTCCCAGACGCATACATTATGTACCAGTTAAGCAGAACTGACAGCTTCTGGAAAGAGGGCAATTAAGCTATCTTATTGTCATAATGACATGACACAATAGTTGTCTGTCATTAGGAGAACAGGAGAAAGAGGAACTACAGAAACTGCTCCTATTTTTAGAGTCTGAATCAGGAAAGCATTTAAGCATACGCTTAAGTCATTCCTGTTCAGTTTAGCAGCGAAGCATGTGCTTGAAGTTAAGCATGTGGGAAGTGAACAGGAACACTTTGTTTTTTCCCTTCTGTTGAAGGGAACAACAAAGTTCACTTGTCATTCAGAAAATACATTAACAGGTATAGAAATGGGTGGTGACTCGTCTGTTAAGGACAAGGGTTCCCAGCTCCCCAAGGTAAGGCATCTGGAGAGGAGGGTGGTACATCTTCCATTCCAGAGGAGGAAGGTTAAGATGTCCCTCTGGTAATTGCCTTTGTGGTGAAAGAGTTTTGGGAGGGGAAGGTATTTATAGGTATTTTTGTGGTGGTCTTTCAGTGAAGTTAGTTGCATGTCTGATCAGTCTGGATATTTTCTCTGTTTTGTTTCTTAGCTATTTCTCCATGCAAGTTCATTAACTTTCTTTGTCTCCGTTTTCTCCTGTCTTTTCATAGCTGTAGTCCCAGGGTGCGCTGAAAATCTGTGGAGGGTTATTCTTTTCTTCACCTCTTTCCCTGGTATGTAACCAGGTCCTAGTGGAGGCTGAGGCCTCTTTGTTTAAACAGTTAAAACAGACTGTAGGTTCTTTTTAGTGAAGGATCTGGGCACTTTAAAAACAGCTGGAAGCAAGTCTTTTAGCTCACCTGTACTGGCAGAGAACAGTCTGGGAGCTGTAGGTTTAGAAAAAAAGTTTGGCATAGGCAAAAATGTAATGGATATATCAAATGGTAGTAAGCATACAGCCCCATTCCAGATTAAGCCTCCAGGAGAGGAACGCCATTGGTAGGTACTAGCTTTTAAATATTCAATGTGGAAACAAAAACCTTGTGGCCAACAGTGTGTCAATAGATGATTACAGATTTGTTTTGAGATCATAGTTTGGCTGTGGCTAAATTAGATGAGTAAGTGAATGTGCTGCTGGCTGGCAAAACATGATTTATTTTAAGCACAATGTATCTGGAATTGGAAATGATTAAGCTGCTGAATAAAACACGTGCAGGTGGCTAATAGTCAATTGGGTATGGTGAGTACAAGCTAGTTCTTTAATTCTAAGGATTTTTATTTTTTTTTCCCAGTAGATTCCTAGAAGTCTTAGACAATGCAAGATACTAGCAAGTGTAGCTAAAATTTCATCTTCCTGTTTGCAACTTATACCTAGTTTTACCTGCTTTCTGTGTTTCTAGTATTTCTCTTTGAGCTGCTTGTGAAGTTATTATTAATAATTTAATCTATTGTATAAAGTGGCATGTAAAATCCTTTTAACTGTTCATTAGGTTTTGAAGAAGGGGAGTGTGTTGCTCAGCAAAACTTAGCAGAAAAGAGGGAAAAGTAAATGTTAACCTGGGTAACAAAAGCTAGACAAAGACCTATGGAGGCAGCTTGTAGTAAATCTCGGCAGGTGGTGTCAACATTTATGTTGAAAAGCCAGATGCAGCCAGATGGAAAATTGCATCTTTAACCCCTGAGGTCATAATGACATGTCATCACTTCATTTGATCCCCCTGCTAAGTGAGCTTATCATCCACCCTGCTGTCACTTCTGTTATTACTTTCATTTCCATAATAAAATTAAATTTAATTTGTCTGGTTTGCATGCTTTTTTCTCTTTAGGTCAGAGCTTTTACAAACCACTATGATACATATGGCAGCCTCTCCAAGGTGAAGTTATAACTGAATTTGTATTATAAGTATGAGCTTTTCTCCATCTTTCATGGCTTACTTTGAGCAGAAGGAGATGAGGGAGGGGAGAAGGAGCTTTGGGGAAACCACTGGTTGTCTGATAGCTGCAATATGGGCTGCCATGACCAGGGGAATCTAGGTGTGGGTTTGTTGCAGGAGAGCTTTTTCCCTTCTGCCAGAGGGGAGTTAAGTGTCTGTGACCTTCATAGAAGTCAGACTAGTTTACCCACTGATTCTGGCTGTGCTGAGGTTCCTTTGTGTAGCCTGATGTCTTTCTCTAGTGTTTTGTAGTCCCCTTTGTGCCAGTCTCTATTCACATCACTTTTTGTTGTCCGCTGTTGTACATATGTGCCTTCTGGTAGCTTGGCCGCATGATGCCTGCTGGCCATAACATGGGTGGCTCGGTGGAGGGCTGAACAACTTCATGAGTCCTTGTCCAGGCAAGCAGTTAAGTGCGTACTGTTCTGCATCCCTGCATGAGAGAACGATTATCTACCTAACATTTAAATACGTGTTTAGTTTTAAACATGTACCACTTCAGTATCAGTAAATGTATATTTTCTGTGTTCCTGAGTTGGAGGTGAAGGTGTTAGTGTTCGTGGCAGTTTTCCACGGGTTAGTATACTCTACTTACGCACAGTTGTATAGTTGTATACTTCTCAGAGTTTTATGGGTATGAGGAATGCAGAATAAGGTGTTTGATCCCATGTAATTTGTATTATATTTTTCATTATCACTATTTTTCTACTTTTTACCCTAACATCTCACCTTTCATTCATGATCTGTTCTATTGCAAAAAATTATAAAATCATTATTTTTGTTGTGTATTATAGTAGCTTCAACTCTCGCAGTAAAGGACATCTGTATGTTAAGAGAGATGAGCTGTTAAATTGCCTCAGTGTGTCCTGTGGAACTGTATATGCAACTTGATTTGTTATACCGGTATATAGGCCACTTTAATGTATGTTATGCTTTGTAGTCGCACTTTTGTGTATATGTGCTCTGCAACCTAGGACAAATGTGATCTTGCTAATTTTGGTGACTGTAGGTGTAACATGCCAGTTCAAGCATGGGCTATTTGCCTTAAAGTAAAAAACCAGGATTCCTGGTGGCATTTATACAGTCTCTATAGAAGCTGCTATCTTTATTGGAACTAACTAAATTAAAGCTAAGTCAGATATTCCTAAACATGTTACATTTGCTTCTCCTGATTTGCAGGTGAGACATACCCTGAAAGATAGGCTAGCTTCATAGGTCTGTTTTCCTTTTCATCTCTTTGTTATAATCGAAACCTAGTCGTTGTTACAACATAATTACCTAGTCTGAAGCCAGCAGGGAGCTGCTGCTT